AGCGAGGCAGGGCACAGGCTCCTTTATTTTATCATTTTCATGTGGGAAATACACGAGAACTTTGCGAGAGGGTGTGTTGTTGCTGCGTTCCAACTTAACTTCCCCAAACGTATACTCAACTCGTTTTCTCTGATCTTCTGTCATGGCTGAGGCCATGACCTTCTAGACTCCAGAGACGTTGCATGCATGCACCATCTTCCCATGCATATATGGGAACAAAGCATATACATGTCTGAAAGTTGTTTGTTAGAATTGTGACGACGTTATGATCAGTTCGTCTGCATGCATAAGCTACCAGCAGTGTACAAGTATGTACTACTACCTGTCTGTCTAGCTCGAAAAATAACGGAGCTGGGAATCATGCATGCTTCACGTAAGAGAACAAGGAAGTATATTTATATGTCTACTACTTCGTACACAGCATTTATCTTCAAATCAGAGTTTGATTTGATACGCATTTCTTTTATCTTGACGAGAGATCTGGTAAGATATTACATTCTGGCACAGCAAAATGTGCATGTGTGTTCGATCAAGACAGTGTTACGTGTCAGGAAAATCTGTGTCGATCCTTGGAGTCAGCTCCGTCCCGCGGGCCGCGGTTGTGGGAGCAAATCATGCATGCCGCGCTATGTTTCGTCCACAGAAAGTGGTAGATGATCAACAGCATGAAAAGTTTGATTCGGATAGATTCTGCTGCGGAGAAAGAAGGCGTGCATGGGTGTAGTAGTATCCTAGTTGCATCTGCATTTGGCTTGGCACGCACTCGTGGATATGCACCAAGGAGATGGTGCTAGAAGGGTGGCAGGGTTGTGGACCGAACCACAGCTGCGCTAGCTCCATGCCGGCCGGGTTTACCGATCGAGGTGTTGGCCGGCCAGCGGCCGGGGCACGCGTGCAGGGTAAGCTGCACGTAGCCCCTGACCCCTGAGACGGCGCTCTCGTGAGGGCACATGCTCGCACCGGTCGGTGGCGCGCCGCGCCGCCCCCGCGGACCGGACCACGCGCGGCCACGCTACGTGCGATCTAAATCTGGCGTCAAGCCCAGACCGCGGCGCGGTCGCCCTCTTGTTGCCCTGCGGAAACCAATCAACCGCGCCGGTCATAGCCTCATCATGGACGAGCCGTTTTTTTCGAACGCCGGCCGCCGGCCGCCGACCGCGCGCTCCGAGCAACCTGACCAATCCGCGGCCGGGCTGGTCAAGCAATGCCGCCTCCGGCCGGCTCCTCGCCACCACATACGGACACCTTTGTGCTGCGCTGCACGCACGCGTCTTCGATGCTGGGAGAATGCAACTACGAGAAAGATGGCGCCGCATGCGCTCTCTGCGGTGGGTGTTTGTCTGGGACGTACGAGCCAGGAATCCACATGGATGCATGCCCTCGTGCATGGTACTTGCCCGCCATCTCGACCGAGCGAGCGTTTGACGGTCGAGTTTGGATCGGCGCGGACGTATCGGTCCCCGGAGCCGGCCATTGCGTGCTCTCCCTCTCATCGCTTGTCGCGGGGGTCGGGGTATGTGTTGTGTAGCCCACCGGCCGCGCGCGGTAGGGACCGAGAAATATCCCAAGCCTAGCCAACGATGACCCGGCCGCCGCCGGCGCTCCCGCCGCGGAAGGCGTTGCGGCGCCGGGACGAGCGGGCTGCGCAGCGCCGCAAGCCACTGCAGCCATGCGCGTGCGCACACACACATGAGCGTCCGCACTCGGATGGTCGGTCGATCGGCACACCGCACACGGCAGGTACGTGCATCTACGCTTCGGGTGAGTTCATCCGGCCCGGTCCACAATCCACTGCATGCATGTCTGTAACTCTGCATTGCATGGCGTCCCAGCAGATGATGATGATCCGGAGCATGCAGTGGACCCTCCATTTTGGGCTTTGCGGCTCCGGCACGTTGCAGCTCGATCGAGTCGAGTGCCCAACGGATTTGCTCGTTGCCAGTTTGGGCAAGTCAATCCAAAAGAACTGGACATCACTGTCGGCCTCATCACTGCCGAATTTTAAAAAACCGACAGTGATAAGACCAATCGACACTGATATTCGGGCATTCACTGTCGGTTCATATCACGGTTGTAGCCAAGAACCGGCAGTGATATTGGGTCATCACTGCCGATTTTAGCCAAAAATCGACACTGATACTATCACTGTCGGTTGGTGGCTTGAACCGACAGTGATACGTGGGAAAAAAACTACATAAGTTTCTCATATGATGTTCGATGAAGATGAACTTTATATCAAACTCGTAGTACTCGACGAGATCTACAATTTTAAAGTTCAAACTTTTTTAATTTGAGATCGTTTGGATATCCAAATACTTTCATTTGAAATAATCTATCTAACGAAAATTACATTTGATTTCTAAAATTTAAAATTGAATTTTTCAAACAGCCTCAGATGGAGAAACGCCCAAAACAAAAGTTGTAGATCTCAAAAAGTTATGCAACTTTGTAGTTGGAAACTTTTTCATTTAAGATCGTTTACTACTCGAAAATACTATTTGAAATTAAAATTTAAAATTATTTGAAGAACTTTTTCTCTTTTAATCTTTGGCTAAAACTTGTAGCTAGTCTTTCTCCCTCGTACTGACTTCAAATTTGATGAATTTTTTTTCTAAAAATTTCTAAAATCATGCTCTACCAATTTATTGTGTTCTTACTGCTATTATTTTATCCATCTTTTTGTGTGCCTATGTTTTATCTATTTGAATTTTGAATTTTAAAAAATGACAACTTCAAACGTTATTTTGGAACACTAAATGATTTCAGCTGAAAAAATCATGAGCATAGAAGTTGTAGAACTTATTAAGATCTACAATTTTTATTTTGGTCATTTCTTCATCCGATAAAGTAGTAATAACATTGTTCACAAAATTTACATCTCTCTTTTATAGTTTCATAAACAATAAAAGAGATATGTAACATTTGTGAACACTGCTACTGCCACTATGTCGGATGAATAAATGATCAAATGACCAAAATAGAAGTTGTAGATCTCAGAAAGTTATGAAACTCTCCGGTTGACAACTTTTTAATTTCAAATCATCTTGTGAAGAAAAATTACGTTTGAATTTCTAAAATTTAAAATTTAAATGTAAACGATCTCGGATGGAGAAACTACCAAAATAAAAATTGTAGATCCCAAAAAGTTATTAAACTTTGTAGTTGACAACTTTTTGATTTGAAACCATCTTATCAAGGAAAACTACGTTTGAATTTCAAAAAAATTGAAATTTGAATTTTTTAAACGACTTCGGATGGACAAAAAACAAAAACAAAATTTGTAGATCTCAAAAAGTTATGAAACTTTGTAGTTGATAACTTTTTGATTTGAAATCATCTTGTCATCAAAAACTACGTTTAAATTTCTCAAATTTGAAATTTAAGTTTTGTAAACGACGTCAGATGGAGAAACTACCAAAATAAAAGTTGTAGATCTCGAAAAGTTATAAAACTTTGTAGTTGACAACTTTTTCATTTAAATTCGCTGAGGGTCTAAAATACTTATTTTAAAATTAGATGAACATAAAATGGTTAGGACGAAAATCTCATTTGGACACAAACAGCTTGCAGGAGGAGTGGTTAGGGGCAAAAGACGCGAAGCAGGAGGACAGCGGTTCGAACGCTGGTGGCCACGAAGCACGCGATTTTCGGCCGAAAAATCGCTTGACTCGTGACTTGCGACGCGCGACCGTGTGGCTGTCCAGTGGTGCCTCTCCCGGTAAAAAAAAATTCTTATTTTTTCAATGACTTTTTTGGCTTTCCTAGAAATCACATCACTGCCGATTCATATCACTGTCGGATCCTATCCACACCACTGTCGGCTGTCGGTTCAAAATCCGGCAGTGAAGGGGATTTTTAACCGACAGTGATGTCAGAATTTGGGTAGTGTGTAATTATCCAGGGAGCACCAAAAAGTACGCGCACGGCACGGAGGCAGCCCTTTGCGACGTCGCGCGTGTCCAGCCGCCCAATAATTAGCATGTTCGCTTGCTCGTAAACGATCGTAAATTTTCAGCCGGGAACAGTGTTTTTCTCTCACACCAAACCAGGCAGCAGTAAATAATCCACGATACGATACGGCCTCCCGAACAGGCTGAATAAACTACTAGCCCACAATCAGGAATATCGCCGTGCGTGGCAGCGCCCAAGTCACCCCCGTGGCGGCCAGCGGCAATGGTGTCTCTGCATCTGATCAGCCGGCGGCTCGGCGCTCGCTACGTGGCCGCCGTGCGCGCAGCGGCGGGCCAGCCCTGTGCGGGGAGATATCTGATCAATGATCATTACGAATTCCACCACTGAGCGAACGCTTGCATGCAACATGCAACAGGCAACAGGCAACAGGCAACAGCTGGGTTGTGTGATTGTGACCAATGTTTTTTTAGGCGCTAGGCGGTTTTTAGACGGTGACCCATCGCCTAGCGCCTAGGCGCGCCTAGGCATGCCTAGGCGTTTTCTAGATGTTTTGATATTTTTTGTATCTCAGCATATATAGCTAAATAAATTATATAAATATAGTAGCCGAGTGAATTTTATAAAAAGAGAAAATGTCCAATAGACATACCTTAGTTGATAGAAAAGCGATGTTCATGCTTAGTTCATAGTTGATAGTTGATACAATACAAATGTGATGTCCTGCAGCAATACAAGTGGAGAACAGACCATATCAGTAGTTAAATATAAATGGACCGCAGACCATATGAACAATACAAGTTATACAAAAATAGGAAAGAGCAGGTTAGGTACTTATCTCAATGATCTTAGCCCTTTCCTATCCATCAGACATTATCAGCAGCAAATGATAGCCATTTGAAACCACAAACATGTAGGGATAATAGTAGCAGCAAATAAAATTAAATGGTACAGAACAACACATAATTCAGTTCTTAAAATACAGAACACAGGCACACATGCACACAGACTGCAGGAGTTCCAAGTTCATAAGTTAAAGATACAATTAAAAGATAAACATGACATGATAAAGCCCCACTGCCATATCGTCTTCAATAGGGTTCCATATATTCATCCTCATCTTCATCAAACTCTTCTTCTTTGGAGTCAAATTCTTCTTCATAAAGTTGCCTCACTCTAGCACTTCTACGCAGCTCAAGTTGTTGGTCTGCTCCTACTACTTCTCCAATAACAGACCAAGGTATCCCTGTACCTTCCATCTCCTCATCTTCCTCATCTCTATAGACAACTATTGCACAATTATCTCCATCCTCATACAGAAAACCTTGAGCTTCAGTTGTCTCACTAGACAAGAGAACATCAGTGGTTTTCTTTGACGCTATCCTTTCTTTCTTATTAATCAACTTGGAGTTGAATTGAATAAAGACTAATTTGTTGAGTCGGGTTGTAGTAAGCCTATTTCTCTTCTTAGTGTGTATCTACAAATTAAACATGAGAGCATATAACTATTTTCATTCCTTTAAGTTTACTGCTGAAATCTGGACAGTAGATAGGGACTAACCATTTCAAATGTACTCCAATTTCTTTCACAACCAGAAGAGCTTGATATCAGAGATAGGATCCTTGTTGCCAACTTCTATAAAGCGGGCGTTTCAGTTCCATACAGCCGCCACCAAGATACTAAAATAAATGAGCAGAAACTATATAACAGCCATGTAATAGCACTGGATAACAAAAAGTTGCAATAAGGTGTATAACAGCCATGGCAATCAAGGATAGATGTCGAGGTACTTTTTCATAGGCCACTTAAATATTCTGATAACATTTTGGCTTTACTATTTCATTTTGCTGAACATTTTGGGAGCTCTGCCTATATTTTTGGGCAAATGCTAGCTCATGTTGTATGCTCCTTCCATTCTCAAGTATATCACTGGTGCAAACTAGTGATCCGTGACTAATTTGCTTATGCATAATCTGCATTAACTAGCCTCTTGATAATGATAATGATAGCAGCAACTCTATAACAGCCATGTAATATGAGTTACCTAGGTTGTACTCAATTTTTTCACAAGTCTTTGCAAGCTTCTTGTTAAATGGTCCTTCTCTATTATGAAACTTCTTTAGTTCAGTGTTGACAGCCTGATCTTGCTTGTCCTCATCATGATGATAAAAAGTCTCTACACAGCTAATAAAACCTACTGTTATTGTGGCATCATCAAAGATTGATGGGTTGCCATAGCTGTAGTATGGATTCAGCAGATAGGCAGTCAAATGCAATGGAGAATCAAGTCTTCCTTTCATCTTCTTGTCAATAATAGCAATAACTTCGTTGTAGCGGGATTGAACATTGCCATAGGCTTCCTTGATCTCTCTCTTTGCCTTTAGTAGTTCTCCATATATGAAACCCATTGATGGCTTCACATCCCCATCAACCAAACGAAGAACTTTGACCAATGGCTCAAAAACACTCAAACACAGCTTCGCATCCTTCCAAAAGGTTGGACTCAATATTGTTGCTGTTGCATCTTTTCCCTTTTTTGACTTCACATCCTTCAATGTGTCCCACCTATTATGAACCACCATCTTTCTTAATTGGTCCTTCTTCTCTAGTATGCCATTCAAAGTGAGAAAAGCTGAAGCAAACCTAGTCACTCCTGGCCTTATTATCTCTCTCCCCTCTGTGAAGTGTCTCAAGCACTCCAATGTTCTTGTGTGCCCATAGACAAATATGGTTAATGCCTTTGCTTGGTCAATCACCTTCTTGAACCGTGGCATGTTGCCAATTTCTTGGAGCATCAAATTGATTGTATGAGTTGCACAAGAGGTCCAAAAGATGTTTGGTCTCTTCTCAAGCAATAGCTTCTTTGCTCCCATGTTGTTAGAAGCATTGTCTGTCACTACTTGCACCATATCATCCGGACCAATGTCTTCAATTGCTTTGTCCACTAGTTCAAATATGACTTCACTTGTGTGTGACACATCTGACATCTCTTTTGAGCTAACAAAACCGGATCCATCAGCACAGTTAGTGCACAGGTTCATTATACTTCTCCTCTTCCTATCTGACCAAGCATCAGTCATAACTGAGCACCCATTCTTCACCTTCTCAGCCTCATGTTCTTGTAGCAAACTCTTGGTTCTTGCATATTCTTCATCTAGCAAACTCTCTCGCAGATCACGCAGAGATGGAGGTTCAAGTCCAGAACCAAACTGTCCAATTGCTTCACACATTTGCTTGAACTCATCATTGTCACAAGCATTGAATGGTATGGCTACATATGATACAAAAAAGTGTAATTAACTAATTAGTGTGTAGTTCAGGCATGTATTCAAATTTGAAATGTAAAACAGAAATGCATAATATTAAATTACCATGTGTATATGCCCATCTTGCAATATATTTATGCACCTCATGTGTTCTTTCTTTCCAAAGTTCCTTGTTCAGCTTCTGTTGCTTCAAAGACTCAGATTTTGTTGCTTTAGGATCAATAGCACGTGTCCACTTATCAATGGGTCCTAATTTGTGAGGCTCTGAACTTCCAACACAAGTCACTTCATCATCCTCTATTCCAACTCGAGAAACATTCACGTCTTCTCTAAGCTCTAGTTCACGAGCAGCCTGCTCCTTCCTCTTCCTTTTTGAATCTTCTAGTGATTTCTTGCACTTGTCTTTAGCCTCCTGTGTGCTCTTCCTGCATTTCTTCGCATTTGTTCCAACATTGGCCACATGTTCCTTCAACCGATGGACCCCTCCTTGGCTCCGATGACAACAGAATTTGCACTCCACCTTGTCCTTGTTGTTTGCATCCACTAGAAACCCATACTCCCATCCAACATCATCTGAATTCCTTTTCAGGACATTCACCTCCTCCCGAGATGTAACACCAGTTTCAGTTTGAGGAGCACATTGTTGGACCGACATTCTACATGAAGAAGAGCAGAGGCATGTGAAATTAGTCCTGCAGCACTACTTATAAATTTAGATAAAAAGCCACAGATGAACCTTCGTGAACACAAATGAAACTTTCTACTGCAACATTATTTAATATTTTAATTATTAGGCAACCACATGTAAGAACCAAGCAAGACAGGTAAGAGATCAAAATGTAGGTCTGATAACATATTACGTGCTAATAGTATATTGTAAAGCTGATGCAAAAAATCAAAGAATGTACATTGTTAATCTTGTATACATGTAGAGGGAAAACAGGGGAAAAAAGGAAGGAAGATAACTTGTACTCCTAAGATTGATAACCAGGTCATGGTAGCACACCAAGTTCAGCTAAACACTCTCGTCATTTATACAGAATATACAAGTAAAACAACATCAGTGCTCTAGTTTATGAAAAAACTTGGCTGTGTTGAAGCAATAGCTCAGTTGGTAGAGCCTCAAGCTGAGACTTGAGCGGACGCCCAACAGGGCTGCAACCCAGTTAACTACTAGTACTATGAGCACAACAGTACAGCACAGCCGAGCAGAGGAGAGAGGAGCAGGGGGCGGGCGGACCTCACGTCCTCACCTTACCTTGGGGTTCCCGAGCGGCGGGACCAGGGGTAGCGAGAAGGTCACCACCGGTGGCAGCCCGGCGAGGAGGGGCCGCACGGGAGCTCCAGGGCCGACGGCGGGCCGGCAGACGGGGCGGACGGGGCCGGTGGCCGGCGGGGAGGCCTACACGGACGGAGAAGATGGCCGGCGAGCGAGCTCGGGTCGGAGGCAAGGGGTCGACGAGCTCGGGTCGGAAGCAAGGGATCGGAGGCAAGGGGCCGGCGAGCGAGCTCGGGTCTTGACTCTCTCACTGTGTGTATCTCTCTCTCTCTCTAATCCTCTCTACCACCCGTGCTCTTTTCTTCCCGCGCGGGCGCTTCCTTTCCCGCGCACCCGGCTTCTCGCACGCGCGCTCCCGCCTGCTCCCGCCCGCCAAAACGCGCGCGCGCTCCCGCCGCCTAGGCGCCGCCTCCTCCGCCTACTCGCCGCCCAGGCGCTGCGGAGGCGCGCCCAACGCCTAGAGGTGCGCCTCACCCCCTAGGCCCGCGGGAAGGCTTCGCCTTGCGCCTGGGCGCGCCTAGGCGAGCGCGGAAACGCGCCTTGTCATTCATTGATTGTGACTTTGTGAGTCGACACGGATAGATAGCACAATTCAAGATGGCTTTCTTCTTCCCTTGCTGAGAAAACATCCGGTACTTGAATTTCCTTATCAAGACACGAAGTTGGTCGCTCATCGTCGGCCCTAGCCAGATAGTAACTCTCATGGATTCAAATGGTATTCCACGTGCACAAGTTAACATTCTGGAGGGTTTTCATCTTTAGCTGAAGCCCAATCGGGTCGTATGAGCACATTAATTCCAAGTTTGAGCACAATCTTACTCTTGACCAAAGAAATGTATAGCACTTCTTGCCAATGACCTAGACCTTAGTGGGCCAGCCTCAATCTATATCTATACCAAATTTCAATATCTAATACTAAAGAGAGAAGTGATCTTTTTTGTCTGTGAGAGTGTCCTTGCGTTCTCCTTATCCCATATGTGACTTAGACTATGACTCATGCTCATACGAGTTAGCATGTAGCAGTGGTGGTACGGAGTTCGATTTCGATATACATTGAAACAGAGACAATCGTTAAAAGAATATCAGAGCCACAAATCGTTCACATGACCATGCAACAAGATGTATATTCTGTTGCAACGTACTAACACATAACATATGCTAGTTATATTAGTCAGAGAGAGAGAGAGAGAGAGAGAGAGAGAGTTGATAAGCCGAGCCGGTCAATAACTACAAGATGCAACATAATTCTGCCCTAAAAGTTGACCCCTTGAAAAGGCATACAGTATAAATATAGCCTCAACCCAACCCAGCCCATTTAATTTAATTTCATCTCTCTTAAATATCTTGCCCCTTTTTTTTACTAACTAGGTTGAAAAGTCTGCGTTGAACTAAAACTAGAACGTGAAGCTCTAGGAAGGAATGGAACAAAATATATTTTGCATATTTTAATTTACTCCAATTGCCCGTGCATAGAACCTCTTAGAATTTTGTTTTTTTGAGTTCATGATGTTTGGTTTATCACTTCAAAGTTTAAGCCACATAAGTTGACCTCGGCCCTCAGAAGTAAAGGATCGCCTAACTCAAGTTCAATTCGTTCTCTGTAACAAACATGAATTCAAATGAAATCAATTCAATCGGTTATGAAATTCTAGCTAAATATACTTCAGGCTTAGTGAGTTTCCGACTTTTGAAAGAGCTTGATTTATTGCGATTAAAGCCACACATCATGATCCAAACGAGGACCATGGTGCAACAATGTGCCGATATGGTGTTTATATCTAAAAAAGATATCATCATATTGCCACCTGTTGATTACGGATCTCCAAAAGCATGGCATGGGTGCCCAACCTTCTTGCCACCTGTGTGACCAATAATAGGAGATCATGACCATATCTTCATAGTTTGCTCATTCATGGCTCATGACTAGTTCCAAATGCTATCAGTGCTTGGCATTTGGCAAGACCTGTCGTCACCAATCAAGCAATAGGGTGTTTGGTTTGAGGAATGAGTTACTCCATTATCTTCTCACTCCTCACAATTTTTTGTTTGTGGAATGGAATACATTGATGCATCAACACCTCATTTCTCACAAGCCAATAATTAGTACTAGTGTGAGGAATGAAGTCGATCATTCCACCAAAAATCTGAGGAATGGATTCATAATGCACCATCTCATCTAGAGTGGTTTGATTTCTCAAACCAAACACCTTACAAACTCTTTGTTCGATTGGTAGGCCCGGTCATATATATGAGCCTAGCCCGGTCTGGCCCAACCGATTTCACTTTATAAAATAGCTCTCCCCCAGCCAACCCCCTAAAAAATCTAGTTTGTACTCTCTCTCTCTCTCTCTCTCTCTCTCTCTCTCTCTCTCAGCTCTCTCTCTCTCTCCGTCTACAAAAGGATGCAATTCTTATTTTTTGAGGAGTCAAACAATTTAAAATTTGACCATTATACAAAAAGCATTAACATTTATGATACAAGATAAGTATCATTAAATTAATTATGATATATATTTCCGTAGTTAAACTAGTTTGAGACATAAAGGTTAATACCATTCACTATAGATTTGATCAAAATTAAGGCAGTTAACTTACATAAACACCATAGTCGTTGCATCCTTTTATGCACGAAGAGAGTAATACACAAAGTGCGTCAGCCAAATGACATAAATTGATCTCGGTCCTCAAACTCGAGCTAAATTTTCCGTTCATCTTACAAGCAGGACACCATTAACATTTTACTCATACTTTAACCAACAATATTTATTCAGTTACCTAAAGTAAAACAAATACCACTAGATGTATCACCAAAAGTTCTTAAAGTGCGCCTCATATATATGTCTATTAGTACAAAATATTTATAAAAAAGAAGAGTAGTCAAACAAATGAAAAAGACGACATGGGCATAAACGAGGTTTGCACATAATTCAAATAAAATCATTTTTTGTTGTTGCGAAGCCCTTTTGGGGTGTCTTTGTTGCTTTGTTGTAGTGTCCAATTTGGGTTTCTTATTTTTATATAATCACCCGTTCTCCTGTCTCATTCTTTAAAAAAAATGCAACTAGTTTACACGATTATGGATGTCTGCACAACAATTCAAATAAAACCTATTTATACAGCTATGAAATTTTAGCTAAATATACGAGTTTTGAGAGAGTTGATCTATTAGCACTTGGCCCCAATAAGATGGCAAAGTACATCATAAATTAAAGTATTTTAGATATGAATTAAGCATGCTTTAATTGGTTAGATTTTTTGTGGTGGAACTGGTTTATCCATATTTGAGCTTTTAACTTAGCATGGATACTTGCATCTACATCCATCATTCTTTAAATGCATCGTAGGTGGTGTGTCCGTCAATGCTGAGGCGTATATTTGATGAATCCATCAATCTCGATATCTATGAGTTCAAATGCACTCATATGTCTGTAACACCCTTGGTGTTACACTGTAAACCATTTGCTAAAACATGTCATGAGCATCATGTTTATGTGTTAATGCATATAATAAAGAGTGTAGCCCAAGTTCCATAACTCAAAACGATCAACGGAAATACAAAACGAAAGTTTATTTGATAGTTGTGTTGTATCACTTAGGGTTTAAAACCAATTTTTATTAAGCAAAAGTGCTATAAAACATATATGTGACACCTTAATAAAGTTTGAAGCACACATTTTGTAGAAGATAGTGCAACTTTTGTTTTCACAATATAGTAATGATAGATAACATTTCAAATAGCTTAGAAATCGAATTTGAAACAAATCCAACTCTAGACTTAGTCGATTTCTTAAGTCTGAAAATATATTGACAAAGCTATGTTTGGTAATTTTAGTTGAGAAATTAGGTTAAGGAGTGGTGTGGTATTATAGTTGGTTTTGGTAGCTTATTATATCCTCTAAGGCATAGCAAAGGTGGTTTGGGGATTGAATCAACGGTTTAGATTTTTCGAACGCTTTAAAAAGTGTGCAGGGCACGACCTCGATCGGTTTCCTCGCGTAGGCGCAGTCACCGCGCCCCTGTGCCACGGCATTGACGCTGCTGCCGCGCGCATGCACACCTGGCCGCGCTCGGCTGGCCGCTATGGGCGACATCCCTGGTGCGCGGCTGCCCCGCCTTAGTGCCACGCCACAGCACGCTGCCATCGTGTCCGCTTGTGCCTCTGCGCTGCCGTCATCCCGTCACCGCGCTGCACGCCAACTCGCTGCCCCACCGCCCACTGCCGCTGCCATCGCGTCACCATCCCGCTCTCGCCTGTAGCTGCACCGCGCTGTATCTCTGCTCCGCTTGGGCGTTGTGCGCGCGGGGTTGGACCATCGTCGCCATGCCATTTATGGCATTGCGACGTGTGGGCCACGCTGCCTCGTGCGTGTGCCATC